TTTTTAAACGTATTATTTCTGTATACTTTTCTTATATATATTATTTATAAGGCTTAATTAATTAATCAATCTAAAGCTAACTTATACATAATATTTACACTTGATTTACTATTTAAGAATCTTATTATTCATAATCTAAAATAACATATTTATTGGTTTATTCAGTTTACTTAAATGTAGCCTGCTTTGTCTGAAGCTTTAAAGTTAAGATCAGCTGATTTTATATAATATGATAATTTAGTTATTTATGATTGATAAAATGATCAATATGGTGATATAAGCATATCTGTATATTAAACTGTATAATGTCAGATTATGATTGCTTATTATTAATAATATACTATTCAAGTATACCAATTGTTTAAATCATAACTACTCAGGCTCTAATACTAATGTAAATTCAAAAATTTAAATCTTTAGAATTCTAAGCTCTTCTTTATCAAGCTATTGAAATTTCTATTAACTATTATTACTACCTTTATCCTTATACAATATTATTATTATTATCTCTATTATTATTACTACAATTATTATTATTATTATAAATTCTATTATCATTATTGTTATTACTTTTTGATTTTCCTTCAATTCATTTTTATTATTTACTTAATTTTTTTCAAAGTTATTTTCATCAATTGAAAAATTATTAAACTTCTTAAAAATGTTATTGCTATTAGATGTTTCAGTTATAAAACTTAGAAATTTTATCAAATATGTTTTCAATTTTTTAAGATTGAAAAGTTTAATAGTTTAGCAATTCAATATAAAATTCATGTTATGATAGAATTATTTGAAAGTTAATCCTTATAGTATATATAATTAGTCCATTTAGTAAATTATCAATTATATTTTTTAACTTTTGAATAATTTCTTAATTTTAAATAGAAATTTTAGAAGAAACAGTCACTTTGTTAATATAAATACTAATATTATACTATAATAAAACATTCGATCCATTACCTTTGTGAATATTAATGGTAAACTCATAGCCACATATAATTTAAAGGATTATTACTATTAGTAAAGATATGAATAATTATTTGCTTATAAACTATCAGATAATAAACTTTATATTAATATAAAACTTTGAATTAAAAATAATTTTTTTAATAAAATAAGTAAGTTTAGATTTAATATTAACTTAAAAAATTTTAGTTTTATTTTTTTTACTGTAAAATAAAAAAAAAAAAAAATATCAATATGCTTTATAAGTTTATATATTAATATCTTATTGTTTTATTAATTAAAATTAATATTATATTGATTTAATATAATAAATAATTTGTATATTTCTTCTGTTATTTTAATAGAATATTATTCTAATATTATGCTATTAAATATGCATATTTCAATAGAATTTCTAGTACTATATTTAGTCTTATTCTATTAATTATTTTCATTATAAGATCATATTCAAAATATCAAATGAGCTCTTTATAATAAAAAGGTAATAACTCTTATAAGTCTGATTTTAAGATAATTAAATTAAATTTGAATATTTGATCATATGTAAATAGATTGATAATCTACAGCAATAAAAATAGATTAGAACTAAAAATAAATTTGTTAATCTTTTCTATTAATATTATATATATTATTTAATTTAAACTTAAAATTATTTTAGTAATTTAAAAACATTATTTTTAAATAGAATTTTATTTAATATCAAAGGAAAGATAAAAGATCATTTTATTAAAATGATAAAAAAATTATTCTTTTAGAAAAAAATCATTTGAATAAAATAATAGAAGTATCATTTAAAAGTACAGAAAAAGTGTTTTAATAGAATGATAAATTATCATTAAATTAAAATGATTATTTTTTATCATTTCTTTAAAATAACTTTTTATTATTCTATTAAAACAATTCTTTTATTATTTCTTTAATGTGAAGAAAAAATATAGTATATATATATAAAAATTTATATTTTAACACATAAGAAGTATTTAAAAAAAATAATATTTTTTTTCTTTTTTTATATTTTATATTTCATTAAAATAAGAATTAAAGATTTATTGCAAAGAAAATAAATCTATTTTTAGGTAACAATTCTTTACATAATCAATAAGATCGATTTATACTATTTTTAAATGCTAACTTTTTTAGAATAATAATTTTAAATTAGCATATCTTGATTTTTACTATACAAATTGATCTTTATTTATAATTAAAAAATGTTGTTTATATCAAAACTTAACCAAATCTGACTAAATCATATTTTTTATTTTCAGAGTAATATTATTTATTTTCTATAGCAAAATGTCTAAATAGTAGTTATCTAAATGAAACCTTATATACTGTTAGAGTTAGTAAATGATCATTAATTTAAAAAATATTTAGTTTTAAAGATTAAATTTTTTTAAATATTATTATTATAATCAATTTTTTAATTAAATTTACTTATTAAAATAAGTTTAAATTTCTATTTAAAATTTGAAAATCTCTTTAAAATTTTAGATTTAGAATTTAAGTCCTAGGATTAGATTCTAAATTAAGTATATCGATATTTTTAATTTTTAAAGAATTTTTTTATTTTAAATTAATAAAATAATTTATAAATAATAATTATTAAAAAGATTAATTTATTATTAAAAAATTTAATTAATAGTATATAAATTAAAATTATCTTTAAATTCTTTAAAACCAATTAAGACTTATTAGAACTTTCACCAATCTTATATACAGTAGTAACAGAAAATAATGATAATATCATGTAATTTGATCAATATTGCTTATCGTTATAACTTCCTTTTTAATAGTTATCACTTTATCTTTACATAATTATTAGAGCAATATGTGATTTATAATATAAATAAATAATCATAAGATTAGCAAAAAAATTTTTTTTATTATTTATCATTTTTATTATGACAAAAAAAAATCTCTTTAAATAAAAAACAGTTATTTAAGAGTAAATGAAGTTATAATATTAATGAATTTCATAAAATAATATATATTCTGAAATTCACATTATATACTTATATATATTAAACGCTAGTTAATCAGATACTATTTCAATTGGTCATTATTTTTTGATTAGCAATCAATAAATAAAAATCAGTAGATACTCTAATTTAGTATAAATCAGTTAATACTATAATCATAATTATTAGGTAAAATTACATAAATCAGGTTCCAACCTGATTTTAAACTTATTTAATAATTTGTAATTATATGTTCAATAATAACAAATCAGATTTAAATAATAATTAGTTATTAATCAATTTAATATCCAATTAATAATTATTATGAATTATATACAATATTATAAAAACAAATATAAATGATCATGATCAAATGAATAATGAGGAATCAAAATTTCAATTTTCTGAGCAACACTTCATTTGAATGACGTTAATACTTTTTCCAGTAACGATTCATCTCATAGAGAATTAAATCGAACAATTCAAAACTTTAAACAGAAGACTGCAATTGCATAAGATATAGAATCGAATAATGAATCATTACTCAATATTTACGATGATACTATCGATAGTTTAACAATTATGAATCTTAATAAGGATGACATATTAAATGCTTTAGGCGGATTGCAAAGATATCGAAAATTAGCAAAACTTATTTGTAAGAATATTCAAATATCCAGCATTTTAACTTTACCCAACACTTTAACGGAATTCAATTGCTCTGATATTCTGATAACTACCCTACCAACTTTACCCAACTTCTTAATAGAACTCTACTCAATTACTACCCTATCAACTTTACTTAAAACTTTAACGGCACTTATTTGCTATAATACTTCGTTAACTACCCTCCAAACTTTACCAAGCTCCTTAACAAAATACTGGTATACACACTGGTGTTGTGAATGTCATGAATGGAGAATACCTTCTATAGAAAATCAAAGGGTTTGTTTGCTATGTATTAAACTATATAAGAAATGTGAAGAATGCTATGAATGGAGAAAACCTTCTATAGAAAACAAGTGTATTTGTCATTAATGTATTAAACTATAATATGATGAATGTTATGAATGGAAAAACCTTCCATTGAAAATCAGAAGTTTTGTCAACAATGTATTAAACTATAAAAAAAATGTGATGAATGTCAACAATGGATAAATAAGCCTCAATGAATAAATAAAGCAATCAAGAATTGTGATGAATGTTATGAATGAGGAAGAGTATTACTATATAATTTGTGGATCTGTAAACTTTGTATTAAAATGTATAATGAATGTGATAATTGTCATAAATGGGGAAAACCTCTCGGAGAAAGTGAAAACAAAGTTGTTGACGAATTGATCAGATATTCAAGAATAAGTACTCATATTTTTAGTAAAATGAAAGTTGCTTCTTATGATCAATTCAAAGATATTCAATTTATTGCTGAGGGAGGATTTTAGAGCTACATGGTGGTGGAATGCACGAGAAGGTTATATAAAAGTTGCTTTAAAACAACTAATCAATTCTAAAAATATAATAACATTTTTTATTGCGATATGATATACTTAGACATTTTTTTTTGATGAATCCTTATTTTTTCATTTATATTATTATAAATTTAGCTTTGGAGGTATTTGAATCTTAATATTGGATCTGTTATACCTGATTATATAAATAAATATTATCGAATTTCTCACGATCCTATTTCAAAAGATTATGTGATTATCATGCATTATCGTGAATCGGGCGATTTAAGACGTTTTCTAACAGAAAATTTTTATGATATTGAGTGGTGGGATAAGCTAGATTTATTGAATAAAATTATTAAAGTTCTTGAATATATTCATAATAAAGGAATTATTCATTGGGATTTTCATAGTGGGAATATCCTATCCTTTGTTGTGGAAATCATAAAATACTAATAGGTGATTTAGGAATTAGCAAATCCTTGAATGAATTAACTGATAATAATAACAATATAGTGATAATATTTATGGTATTATTCCTTATATGGCTCCAGAGGTTTTTCATTGACAAGATTATATTACAGCCTCAGATATCTATAGTCTTGGTATGATTATGTGGGAGTTAATGATGGGTAGAAGGTCTTTTTGGGATCAAGATCATGATACAGAACTTATTATTAGAATATGTGATAATATGCGACCTCCAATTGTTACAAATGCTTTTGAAGGTTATATTGAATTAATGAAAAAATGTTGGCATCTTGATCCAAAGAAAAGGCCATCTGCTAATTATTTAAATGAAGTGGTTGATAGTATGGTATCTATTGAATTTAATAATTTATATAGTGGAAGTAATAGAGCAACAAATATCGTATTATCTTCAGAAATTGGACCTGTAGTTACGAATCATTCAGGAGCAAATTCTCAAGAAGTCAATCCGTGACAGAATTTGGTAATTATAATAATTTTTTTTAATTTATCTTATTAATTTTATTTTTTGATTAATAAAGAAATTTATTGAATTGTTTAAATCCATTTGTTTATTATCAAATACATAATCTATTTTCTAATGGTAACATATTTATTGATCATTTTTTAAATTTGAAATATTATTATATTAATAATGTTATAATGGTATTTTTATCTTTTTTTTTGTAAAATAAAGATAAAAGAAAGCTTACTGATGATTTAAATGATGAAAACCAAGGAATAAAAAAAGTAGATTGTCTGATTATGGTAAATTTATCTTGCTTTTTTATAATATATATTACTTACGGTTATATGTTCGCATATTCCTAATGTTTATAATGGCTATATCGGTCTTCTACTATATTGATACTCCCAGTCATTAATATTTAATTTAATAATCTTATTCTATATTTATTAGACTATTTAACAAAAGAATTGGAAATAGATATTTAATGCGAATATTGTGAATATTAATGAATCTAAATGAAGTTAATAATTTCTATGTAGCATTTTATTATTATTCATAATTTATAAACTAACGTTATAATATATATATTTTTAAGAATATTTATTTAAGGAAATTGATATAGATATTAATTTAAATGTAAAGGAAATTTAGTAAATAATTATAATGCAACGTAAATTATAATTTTACTCAATTATTGACAACGATTTACAACTCTATTAAATTCAAATTTTTTCTCTTAATAGTAAATGGTTTTCTGATTTATTTATTTATTTTTATTATTCTATTTATAAGTAAATAGTAAATTAAATACTGCGGGAATACTGTACCTGGCATATTTAAATGTATACAGCACGAGATTTTTTATTGAATAAAATACTTTCTTTTGTTAGCATATTCTTAAAACAATATAACCATATCCCACGCATATAAGCAACCAATTATAGTGTTATGAAAATTCAGTTTCTTCATTGAGTTCATGATGAGTTCAAGCTTCATTATAAGAATGATGTGTCACATTATGTATGTATCTTATAATGAACTTAGATTTTAGAGTTAGTCACACCCGAGGTACAATATACATATGCTGTTTACAAAATGTTTTTGTTTTTGTCATTTTTTCATTAAGTTCATCGGTAAAAATGCTACAGTAAAATAATTTCTAATGATCTAATGAAAGCATGCCAAATAGCAGTAAGCGACATTAAAATGATGATGGAAAAAGAATTATTAATAAGACACCAATTTCACAAATTGAGTTGTGAAAATCAAAAATAGCTTCAATGTAAGAATAATGTCCATAATTTTCATCTTTTTGGTCTTAAATTTCACCATGATTACTTAATTGAAGCAATTCATCAACCAGTAAGTCTTGGCAAAGAGTTAATTCTGAAAACAGGAATTGTAAATGGTTATGACATTGATGTTAATTTGGTACTTAGGTGTCTGGTTGTTGCATATCCTGGAGTACAGAGTGTTCTGATTCATCTGAATATAAGGTCTTTGTGTGTTCACCGAAAAAATGTTATATTTTCCAAGATTTACTTACAAGGAATTGCCTGATCTAGTATGGAAATATGATTTTTTTTCAAATTCATTGTTACATTTTTTTGTTTTATATTTATTATGTATGAGAATACACTTTTTATCAAAGTTATAATAATTTGTTTTATAAATAAAGATAAGTTTCTTAATGCGTCTAGACTTTATCATATCATAAATAATCATTCGAGTAATAAAACACATTAACGATATCAAGTTAGAAACAGAATATCGCCTTAATGACAATAGCCACCAACTATTTTTAATCTCATTTTAGGTTTCTTTGGAAGATCTTCGACAGTTTTTGAAATTATTGAAATCACTTCATTCTAATAACTATGCTTTCACGATATTATCAGTTGACCAGACATAACTTTTGCCGAAAATTCATGTGGATTGTACAAGTTCAGGAAATTCTTTGTATAAATTCCAATTATATCAAAAAGTAAATGTTAAAAATTTGTGAAAATTATTCGTACATGCTCTAAAATTAAAGAATAAGGAAATAATTATGCTCACCGCATTTGCCGCCTTTAAATTGACGTCTTGCTAAGAATGATAGACAAATAAAAAAAGTGATAACATAAACTATTCATTTAGAATATATGTAATTTTATCTTACAGAATTTAGTTCAATAGTTACCATTAAAACATTTCTTATTCCATTCTTTTTTTTATCGGTTGATCGTAAAATATAATTTGATCTATTAATTTAACCAAATAATGTAAGATAGTTAGCCCATATTTTCTTTTAATCTTATGTTATCATACTTTAAGTATGAGGTCTGTTTTTTGTAGTGTCAGCAATTGTCGCAGGAAAATGATGGTCGTTCGCACCAAAAAAACTCATCACCTTGTGTGAAATAAATTATTGTTATTCCATATGATATTGTTAGTAATAGTCTAGTTATGACGCATTAGTACTGCGCTAATTACAATTAGCGAATGATGATCCTATCGATCCTGAATCTCAACTTTCTCTAATTTTTATGATTTCTATCATTTCTCTAATTTCTTAGCGATCTTAGCGATCTATAATTTCTTATATATCTTATATATCTTTAATTTCTTATT